AACTGGATGATTTTTTAAGTTTTTCACCTAATATTTCCAATTTTAAGAATTTCACACTGTTACTGAGCCAAGATGGAAAATAAAATATACCACAGTCAATGTGAGAAAGACAACAAAGGAAAAAACAGATTTTTTTTTAATCTTAAAAAAAAGAAAGTTAACGTTCCATTAACTCTCCAGGATTTTAGGACAACAAGAAAAAGAGAGTTATTAAAGGCTATATAGACACATTTATACAGTACATACCACCCCAGTAACTCAATGGGAAGATAAAAGTAGATTTGGCAGCATTTAAAAAATCGTGTACCAAACCAGCAAGCACTCACCAGGAGATGCCCATGCAGAGCTCCCATATTTTTCAGCAGGCATTTTCAGTTTAGGTTTTTGGGAGTTTTGGGTTTTGGGTTTTGTTTTTGTTTTTGTTTTTGAGATAGAGTCTCACTGTGTTATCCAGGCTGGTCTCGAATTCCTGGGCTCAAGCAATCCTCCCACTTCAGCCTCCCAAGTTCTGGGATTATGGTTGTGAGCCACTGCACCTAGCCTCTAGGATTTTTTCTTAAATCAGGTTTACATGAAACTAGTGATGATGAATTCATTAATGAGGTTCTGAGAAAGGCCATATTCTTTATTACTTGAAGTGACTCTGTTCGGGAAAACTACTGAAAGTTTACAAATGAAAATGTAAAATTGGAGCAAGAGTAGCGAAAATAAAACAGAAATTATGGTTTCAAGGACATGAAAAAAATTAGATTATTTTATATGCCTTCACAAATGAGAATACAGGTCTCAAAATGTTCTTAAGTTTTTTTTTCTTAATTTGGCATGGGACTCCAGAGCAACCTCACAGTAAAGAAAGAAAAAAACCAAGATGGGAAGAGTAAAAAGGACAGACTCACTCTCCACCCAGTACAATAGTCTGACTTGATTTCGAACGCCAATAGCTGCTCTATCTTCTCTCCTCCGGTAATTACTACCTGCTGAACTTTCACTACACGTTGTCAATTATGTTTATGTAACTAACTCTTTATGCAAAGGAAGATGAGATTAGGAACATAGCTCTATTCACTATGCAGATAATGGTGACGATGCTGATAGTGGTGGGGCAGTGACAGTGGGGATCGTGACAAGCAGTCTTCTGAATCTCACGACTAAAAAGGTACTGATACACCTTCCCAGAACTCTGCAAAGTGTAGGAGAAATATTTTTTCTAAAGGTCTACTAATCACCAAAAAAAAAAAAACCATAATCAATCCCCAAATGTAGAATTAAATGAATAACAGTAATACAACCTACACTCTCGGCCTTAAAAGTGGAAATGTAAATAAAATCTCCCCCATATCTGTCAAACAAACAAATGAACTCTTCACTGAAGAAAAGCCGTACTTTTTCACCTTTATTAAATACATTCTGCATTCACACCCTTTAGTTATTACTATTTCTGACACAAATTAAGCCAGAAATCTATTGTGGTTTGAGTAAAACGCCTCCCTACCCTGAGGATTTCTAAGAAGTCCAGGACTGCTGGAAATAAGCTACTGAGAAACAGTCTACTGCCTTACCCAACTCTACTAAAAGATAAATCTTTATTAAAACCGACCTTTTTCTGAGGGGGTGGGGTGGCTCATAAGAAAAAGATGAAACAGTCAGGCTCATACTTGTAATTCCAGCACTTTGGGAGGCTGAGGCAGGAAGATCACTTGAGCCCAGGAGTTCAAGACCAGTCTGGGCAACATAGAAAGATCCCATCTCCACAAAAAAATTTTTTTAACTAGCCAGGTGTGCTGGCACTTGCCTGTAGTCCCAACTATTCAGGAGCTTAGACATTAGGATCACTTGACCTCAGGAATTCCAAGTTGCAGTGAGCTATGATCTCACCACTGTACCACAGCACTCTAGTCTGGGCAACAGAGTGAGACCCTGTCTCTTAAAAGTAAAAGGTATTTATTTGTTGGTGTTAATATGATGGAGAAAAAAAACAAAACACAAATCCAGATCCAGATACTTGAAGATCCAGACCCCTGATTTAGAAGCCCTGGGTCATCTACATATTGTTACAACTGAAGAGGCCAAATAAAGAAAAGGATATGAAGACAAGCAGGGAGAAGTGTCTAGATCCTCAAGTCCTCACATTACAGGAAGCATCTGCTCTGAGAACAATAACTCCCAGCCTCTGATAATAGAACAACATTCTCCTTTGAAAGAGGTGAGTGCTCCTAGCAATGGCATTTTCAATGAAACTCTATGTCGATAGAGTCAAAAACAGCCCATGAAAGAAGCAGCATTTTCCCTCTTTCCTTTCCACAGAACCACTGCTCCCAGGACAGCTTTGCCTGACCCAGTCTTGAGCACTTGAACTTTCTCACAGGCATATGAAGAACCCTTCTCCCAAAAGAAGATCTAAGAATAAAGTTGAAAACCAAGCCACAACAACATGCACCCGCAATGCAGGTACTATTTGTTGCAAAAAATGAAAGAGACTGATAACGGAGATCACAGAAAAGACATACCAGGTAAAATTCTAGAATTAGAGTATGTAAATATCCAAGTAAAGCTCAAATATTTATCAAAAACATCCATATATATTCTGGACCTCGGCATTGCAGGAAAACTGCCACACTAGTGGAATCAAGACTATAAATTCTTTTTTTTTTTTTTTTACTTTTATTTTCAGGGATACATGTGCAGGTTTGTTATATAGGTAAATTGCCTGTCATCGAGCTTTAGTGTACACATTTCATCATCCAGGTGATAAGTGTGGTACCCGATAGATAGTTTTTCGATTCTCTCCTCTTCCCACTTACAAATTCTTAATGAATAAATAATGACTGTGGAACTACCTTAAGTATTATCTCCTGTGATTTAATATTTCAATATTTTCTTTAGCAACTACCATAAGATCAGGATTCATTCATTCTCAGAAATGACAGCTCAGGCCGGGCGCGGTGGCTCAAGCCTGTAATCCCAGCACTTTGGGAGGCCGAGGCGGGTGGATCATGAGGTCAAGAGATCGAGACCATCCTGGTCAACACGGTGAAACCCCGTCTCCAGTAAAAATACAAAACATTAGCTGAGCATGGTGGCGCGTGCCTATAATCCCAGCTACTCAAGAGGCTGAGGCAGGAGAATTGCCTGAACCCAGGAGGCAGAGGTTGCGGTGAGCCGAGATCGCACCATTGCACTCCAGCCTGGGTAACGAGCGAAACTCTGTCCCAAAAAAAAAAAAATAAGAAATGACAGTTCAATAAGGAAAGTTGAAGTGTGCCCCCACGTAAAAGGAAATGAGATTTCTGCATCTTCTTCTACAGTATTGTTATACTAATAATATTAGCAATTGTTTATTGAGTGCCTAAGAGGTACTACATGCAGATTTTAACATTATAACTGCCCTAGGAAGTCAGTTTCATTATTTCCATCTTACAGATGAGGAAACTGTGGCTCAAAGCCATTAAGTAACCTACCCCAAGATCACAAGTAGCAGATAGTACCAGGATTCAAACTCAGATCTTAAGAGCTAACCTTTACTTTCCCTCCAGGGAATAAGGCCCCCCACTTACCTGACATTGCTCCTAAGAGGGACAAAATGGCCTGCCCCTACACATACCATCTCTTCCTGACTCCTATTCCAAATATACCTACCCAGTGAACTTGCAGTGGGGAAAGAACCACAGATGTAGATAAACTTTTACTTTTATTTCATTTCATGATGATGTTCATTTCTCTACGCTTATAGAAAATAAACACGTAATGAACTGTTATGGAATACCATCCACCCTTCATTACGTGCCTTAAATGATTTTTTTTTAAATAACTCTTAACATTATAAAAATATATGTCTCGGCAGGGCACAGTGGCTCACGCCTGCAATCCCAGCACTTTGGGAGGCCAAGGTGGGTGGATCACTTGAACTTAGGAGCTCATGACCAGCCTGGGCAACATGGTGAAAACTTGTCTCCAAAAGTAGTAATAATAGGCCGGGTGCTGTGGCTCCCCAGCACTTTGGGAGGCTGAGGCGGACAGATCACAAGGTCAGGAGATCGAGACCATCCTGGACAACATGGTGAAACCCAGTCTCTACTACAAATACAAAAATTAGCCAGGCATGGTGGCACGTGCCTGTAATCGCAGCAACTCAAGAGCCTGAGGCAGGAGAATCACTTGAACCCAGGAGGCGGAGGTTGCAGTAAGCCGAGATCATGCCATTGCTCTCCAGCCTGGGCAACAGAATGAAACTCCATCTCAAATAATAATAATAATAATAATTAATCTAAAAAAGAAAAAATACAATAAATGTTCATTTTAATGAAAAAAAAGTTTAAGTATTTAAGTATTCACCCCTTCCCCCAAAATTGTTTTCCCTTAGTATTGAAAAAGAGGACATTCTTTGGCCCAATTTAATCTTGGGCCATGTTAACCTGAAACAAGAACCAAATGTGGTTCTGTTACAAATGGCTCCCGCTTTCGCACAGTTTTCTTTTTTTTCTTGTAACTTTAAAACTTAAGAAGTATTCCATAAAACTGGATTTTAATTATTGTGTAGCTTCTCCTTTCCTTCCCACAGGCCTATTCTTTAAAATACTTTGCACTCAATAAATATGAGTTTGTGTTAGAGACTAGCTAGCCCATTTCCTCTTCTGAGGCACACAGTAGCCTACACTTCCCAGTCTCCTTTGCCTCTGAATATAAGCAGTAGTGATGTGAGCTATTTCTAGGTCTAGCCACAAAAGCCTTCCACATGCTCTTCCCATGCTCTTTCCCTGCAATCTTGGGAGCCACGTGATGATAATGGAGCCACAGAATGGAAGGAACCCGGGTCTCTGAATCTGCACTTGGAAGAGCATGCAGGAACACCACCTAGGACTTTACATGAGTGAGAACTAAAAGTATGTTAGGTAAGCTACTGCAAATTTAGGGTTTCTCTGTTACACCACCTAACACATGATCTCATTAACATATTCCAATTATTACTGCAGAAGGATAAGACTTTACACGGTTTAACTTACCTTTTTCAAAGACTCCTTCTGCTTGCAGGACAGAGACAGTGAGGTTTGATGATGTCTTGAGCAGCTCCGCCTTCACAGTGACCTGTGAGGGGCAGTGTTCCAGAAGCTCCACCCCAATAGTCACATTTCCTCCAGGCCTGATGATCCCTGGAGCTGTCACCAGAAACCGGGGCCTAAAGAGTTCCCAACAAGGGAAAAACAAAGTTTCTTATCCTCACATCTCCTTTCCTTTGTGACCTTCAGATTTCATAGTGCAAAAGGCACTCCATACTGTGCCAACTGCAGTTGTTTCTGTTAATATTGTCCAGTGTTCTATTTAGCAAATGCTAATTGAAATTCCCATTGAAATATGGAAATTAACAACCATAATACCCATAAATCAATTTTAATGCAGTAATTCATGCACCACTACCAGAGGAAAGATTGTGTTATTATTTCCATTTTATAAACCACAAACAGCACAGAAGGAACCATGATGTAAATGGCTTGCACCGCGGCATGCTGGAGTTATTGGCAAAGCAGAAGTCTCTAAGCTTCTCCTTTACAGACGACCTTATCCCAGAGTGATTACTTTCTTCTTCTTCTTGTTTTTTTTGAACTAAGATTTTGCTTTCTTATTCAAACCTTTATGCTTGAGTATCAGCCCAACGAGGGAAAAAAAATTATTTAACCAATACCATTGATTGAAATATTCCATTTGAAAATAAGCTATCACTGGTGAAAATTCCAGGTGTAGCGGAGCATAAAAGGAGTCATTAAAGGAGCACTTTCTCTGCTCTAACTAGGGGTTATGGCTCAACTACAGAAATCTTTAGGAATGAATGGGGCTTTCCATTACCGGGTGCTGTTGTTGGCTACCTTTCTACAATGTCTGCACCTGAACCCAAACATCAGTCCCCTCCGCCACACTTTTTATCTTGATTAGAAAAAATATATCGTATGTCTTTGAGAGACGGAACGCAATCTGGGAGCAAAAGGTTGAGAAGCAAAAGACAGAGGCAACGTGGGCTAAAAATAAAATGATTCTCTCCAGAAAGTTGTTAAGGCCAGGGAGACGCTTAAACAACTTCAGGAGTGAAGAAAGTAACTGTCCCATGGAGAGCCACGCTGAAGCTCCGTCAAACCCCCAGGCCAATGCCGGGCTGGGGACCGCAGTCGCGCGGGCGTTTCCCACCCGCTGCCGCACAGCCGCTGCCACCTCCCCGAAGCCCCTGGCCAGAGCCGCAGAGCGGCCGAGGCCCGCGCGCCCACGTTCCTACCCCGGGGCCGCGGCCAGGGCGGCGGTGCACACGCAGAGGAGGTGGGCGGCGGTCAGGAGCGGCGGGCCCTGCATCTCGGCGGCTTCTGCCCGGGCGGCAGTCCGCTGCCGGGGAACTTCGCGGGCACTGTGGGGTGTGGCTTGCCACCTCCTCCCTGATTTTTTTTCCCCCTCAATTCGAGTTTAGCAATCTGAAATGGGCGCGCCTAACAGCAGAGTGAGAGATCTAAATTGAGACAGGACTTGGAGGCTCCACCCCTCTCATCCCCATCACAATGGCGCTTCTCGCTGCTCTGGCAAACATCGCAAATCCAGGGGGGTGAGAAAGCAGGCGGCCCCACCTGGCCCGGGCGTCCCCGCTGGCCGCGGAGAACAGAGCGCGTCCACTTCCCCGGCCCACCGGGTTCCTCAGGCTGTTTACACTAGCGCCCTACCAACTGATGCCCAGGGTGAGTAAACAGGCCCATCCTTGTGAGAAGAAATTCATAGCAGCTATGTGAAGTGGAAAAAAGTCAATCATTGTCCTCCAGACTATGAGTCAGAATCTTAGAGAAACGGCACACACACACACACACACACACACACACACACACACACCCCAAACGGGCGCATTTCCTGGGTAGTTATTTAATGTATATGAATGGAAACAGTGAAAAACTTACTTTCCTTAAAACAAAACTTGAGGTCTACTGCTTTTCTTTCCAGAAAATGTTATGGTTTCTCACCTTTAAAAAAAAAAAAAAAAGGAAGAAGAACAGAAAGAAAAAAAGAACTCTGGCACTGCATACATTAGGTGTTGCTACTTGGAACCCTGAAAAACAATTATCTAAGAAGATGCCTGTATATTTTTGCTACAGAAAGAATTCGGCAGAACTGTAAAGCTTGGAGCAATCTGGCTGAACACAATTAGGGTTGGGTGGCTCTCCTGTCAGAGGGAAGGCCAGTGCCAGTTGTGCCCAGGAGTTACTGATGCCCAACTCTTCCCAGTCCTGGCTTGTTTGCAGCTCCTCTCCCCTGCTCTCTGGCAGTGCCACCATCTTCAGATGACTCAGGTTTCACCATGACTACATCATAAAAGCAGGGAACTGCCAGAAACTGTTGGAAAACAGACACATTCAGACCCTGACAACTTAAACTTTCTAATTCATGGAGAAGTTTTAGATGGTAGCATTCTAATACGGGGCAAAATGCAAACGGAAAAGAGGTCAGCAAAAAGATGTCTCATGACAACGCTATGTGCTAAATAAGGAAAAGTTAGAAAGTAGCACCTAGACAAACTGTGGTTTGGGGAGTACGGGACTTGCTTTCCTCCCTTTCCTGTTCCACCCTTTTTCTCCCTGCTGAACAGCTTGCAAAGGTCCTAACGTCCTTTTCTACAGGCAGCCTATCTTTAGTGGCCAATTCCTGTGCATGCAGGACTTAGGGATGGTGAAAAGAATCTGTGTGGATCCCTGGGTGCTGACCTGTTCCTGACACAGCTGTCAGTGCTGGTCTCCTTGCCTCTGTTGTTCAGAGAGGAGGACCAGGGTCAAGTGTGGGCCAAGCACCAAGGCCTAACGCAGTGCTTCTCACATGCCAATGTGTATGAGAATCACGTTAAAACACAGGCACTGACTTGGTAGGTCTGGAGTGGGGACTGGGATTCTGCTTTACTTTAGCAGACAGTGGGCCATGGAGATTCTACAAGTGGGCAGTTTTCGGGCACTTGGATATACATGGGCAGTTAGGGATACTGAGAAAATTATTCTCAATCTTTCAGTTCATGAAGGTGGATTCGTAAATTCAGGTTCATTCTAGAGGTGGGTAAACATAAGAGGGACTGCAAAAGGTTAGTTGATAATGTTGCCTCCCAAGAAGACTTACAGAAAGGCTTAGAACCACATTGTGTAAAACTAAATCTGTGTGGATTTTAAAGTGATGTCACCTTCCTGTTTATGCCCTCCTTCCCACAATACACATTTGCTGAAAGGCATAATCATGCAGAAATTTAGGCATATGGATTTGCGTGGAGACTAGGCTATTACATGCCTGGCACAGAGTAGCTATTCAATAAAAATTTGTTTAAAGGATTAATGAAAAAAAATTCATCTCAGTCGTGGGTTTTTTTATTAAGAAAAATTGAAAATGAGGCCAAGTGCGGTGGCTCACACCTGTAATCCCAGCACTTTGGGAGGCCAAAGCAGGTGGATCACCTGAGGTCACCAGTTAGAGACCAGTCTGACCAACATGGTAAAACCCTCATCTCCACTAAAAATATAAAATTAGCCAGGCATGGGTGGTGGCGCAAGTCTGTAATCCCAGCTACTCGGGAGACTGAAGCAAAAGAATCGCTTGAACCTGGGAGTTGGAGGGTGCAGTGAGCCAAGATCACACCATTGCTCTCCAGCCTGGGCAAAAAGAGTGAAACCCAATTTCGAAAAGAAAAAAGAAACAATGAAAATGGGCCAGGCATGGTAGCTCACACCTGTAATCCCAGCACTTTGGGAGGCCAAGAGAGGCAAATCACTTGAGGTCAGGAGTTCTAGACCAGCCTGGCCAACATGGTGAAACCTTGTCTCTAATGTAAAATACAAAAATTAGCCCAGCGTGGTGGCCCATGCCTGTTATAAAAGCTACTCGGGAGGCTGAGGCATGAGAATCACTTGAACCCAGGAGGCTCAGGCTGCAGTGAGCCAAGATCTTGCCACTGAATTCCAGTTTGGATGACAAGGCAAGACTCTGTCTCAAAAAAAAAAAAAAAAAAGAAAAACTGAAAATGGTCTGAACATGTAACAATAAGAGATTGCTTTGCTATCATTTGGATGTGTGACCCCCAAAGCATATGCTGTAATGTGATCCCCAGTGTTGGAGGTAGAACACAATGTGAGGTGTTTGGGTCCTGGGGGTGGATCCTCATGAATAGATGAATGTACTCCCTGGGGGTAGGAGGTGAGTGAGTACTCAGTTCCCATAAGAACTAGTTGTTAAAAAGAGCCTGCCACCTCCCACTTCTCATTTCCTCTCTCACCATGGGATCTCTGCACACTAGCTCCCCTTCCCCTTCCATATGAGTGGAAGCAGCCTGAGGACCTCACCAGAAGCCAAGCAAATGCTAGTGTCATGCTCCTTGAACAGCCTGCAGAATTGTGAGCCAAGTAAACCTTTTTTTTTTTTTTTTTTAATAAATTACCCAGACTTGGGTAATCCTTTATAGCAACACAAAACAGACAAAAACCAGAAAATAAATTATGGAATATCCATGCAATGGAATACTGTGAAATAATTAAAAACTATTTGTTTAATTGTAGCTTGTTTAATTATCTAGAGACAAACATTCATATGTTATATGTTATTAAGGAGGGTGCATTAGTCTGTTCTCACACTGCTAATAAAGACATACCTGAGGCCAGGTGCAGCGGCTCACGCCTGTAATCCCAGCACTTTGGGAAGCTGAGGCAGGCAGATCACGAGGTCAGGAGTTCAAGACCAGCCTGGCTAACATAGTGAAACCCTGTCTCTACTAAAAATACAAAAATTAGCTGGGCATGGTGGTGGGCAACTGTAGTTCCAGCTACTTGAGAGGCTGAGGCAGGAGAATCACTTGAACCCAGGAGGCAGAGGTTTCAATGAGCCAAGATTATGCCACTGTACTCCTCACTAGGTGACAGAGCGAGACTCCTTCCCCCCCTCCGCCCACAAAAAAAGAAAATGCCTACGTAAGACATACCTGAGACTAATTTATAAAGGAAAGAGATTTAATTGATTCACAGTTCCACATGGCTGGAGAGGCCTCACAATTATCGTGGAAGGCGAATGAGGAGCAAAGTCAAGTTTTACATGGTGACAGGCAAGAGAGCATGTATAAGAGAAAAACGATCAGATTTCATGAGACTTACTATCACAAGAACAGCATGGGAAGGACCCACCCCTATGATTCAATTACATCCCGCTGGGTCCCTCCCATGACATGTGGGAATTGTGAGAGCTACGATTCAAGTTGAGACTCAGGTGTGGACACAGCCAAACCATATCAGAGGGGAAGTCTGTTTTATAAAACAGATTTTAAATTTCATTCTATTTTTATAAAAAAATAAAGTGTGTTCATGTATACATACACATTACAGATCTATGCACTGAAGAAAGACTTGAAGGATATTCACCAAAATGTTACCAGTATCCTGGTGACTACCTGGATATCCCAAGTTTCCTACAATAAATACATGTTATATCTCCTTTAAGAAGAAAAAAATATTAATTATATTGTTTTAGTAAATAATTTTTGAGGGGGCATCTTAGATGCTCTTTTGAATAAAATTCTGAATTTTGATACCAAAAATATCATCTATGCTTCTCGCATGAAAACTAAATGGTCTCTTGGATAAGAACCCCACACTGTTCCTGTGTCCCTCCTGAGCTGCCTTTAGGGTGTTGATATGGTTTGGATCTATATTCCTGCCCAAATCTCATGTGAAATTGTAATCCCCAATGTTGAAGGTGGGGCCTTGTGGGAGGTGATTCAATCATAGGGGCAGATATCCCCCATGATGCTGTCCTTGCGATAGTGAGTTTTCATGAGATCTGGCCATTTACAAGTATGTGGCACCTTCCCCCAACTCTCTTGGTCCTGCTCCTGCCATGTAAGATACCACGAACCCGCACATCAGTCCCCTCTGCCATATGTTGGCAATGCTAAAGTTGAGACCATGAGTAAAATCTCCTTGAGGCCTCCCTAGAAGCAGATGCTGACATGCTTCCTCTATAGCCTGTAGAACATAAGCCAATTAAACTTCTTTTCTTTATAAATTGCCCAGTCTCAGGTATTACTTTATAGCAATGCAAGAACAGACTAATACAGACGCAGTTCAAGGGGAAAGGCAGAACCACTCTGAGTGAGACAGACCCTAAGCAATCATGGGAGCTGGTGGGGCGGTCCATGCAGGCCATTGCCCCTGGGTGTAATGTGGAGCCTAAAGTCACTCTCAGTCAGCCAGGGGAGAAAAGCTAAATGTGGCTAAGAACAAGGAAAAACTGATTGAGAAGTAGAACCCATGTCCATCCTACCACCTCCAACTTCAATGTCATGGGTAACTTGCAGGAGAAGCTGGTGTCCTTTGTCCAGAGCTGCATGTGCATTTGGCCCACAATCCGGAAAAACTGAAGAGAGCCTCTGAGAACTAAAGGAGCTACAGGCCTGATTGTGGC